TAATCTTTTGTATTTTCTTGTTTATAATACACGCACCGTGTAATTTCATTGAATTAATATGTTTTTACTTTCATTTTGCGTAAAAAATGTAAATGATGTCTATGTTTTGTTATGATCTCATTAAGTCTTGCATGTTTTCAGTTTCAAACATAAAACGACTCTGGGGCAGATTGGGGCCGTCTCCTTTGACGTGGCTAGTTGTAGTCGAACAAATGAAATCGTAACATAAGAAGGGAATTTTTTATGTCGAACTGAAACAAGAAAATAAACTTATGAAAAACACGAGACGAATGATTAATAAATAGATCCCTGCATCTCGCACCGCCACTGTGACAAATATAGCGTTCGAAAGAGAATCTATGCCGCTCAATATTCTTTTGTAGAATAGTCAAACTCACATTCATTATTATCAAATCCAGTGGTCTAGATCCAAACTGTATGGTAAAGCTACTTTCTTTTTAAACTTCGATAGGTATCAGATTCCACAAGTCGGTACACCTAGTTTTATTATCTTCTAAAAGTATTTGATTATTGTTTAAATTGTTTTAAGTTGTTAATGTTGAAATATTATTTAAAAAATAAAAAGATTTTCGTTGCTAGAGAATAGAAAAGGGCCAAGACAGATTAAGTTTAGATAAAATTGGTAATATTATAAATAAAATATATTATATTTTTGGAAAGGATTAAACACTTTCTATCATCTGTATACACCTGTCGGTATTATGTATATATGATATTGTTGTAGAACGGAGTCGATTGATCTTATGTAATTCTTGAGCCAGTCAGAAAATATGGACTCTTCAACAAGGGAATGCCATCGGCAGATAAGGCACGGCTACCTGCGAGCTACGTTACTCTACAATGCCTTACACAACGAGTTATAAAATGACACGAAAAACATGGACTAAATTATTTACAGTCTTCTCACTCAGCTGTCTGTTTCTAGCACGCTTTTGTAACTCTGCCTGTAAATGGCATTTTTCATAATAAGTATATTAAACATTTATTTTTTATTACTTATAATTAAATCGATTTTCTTTTATACCGGTTTCCTATATTTTCATGGGTATTTTTACAAGTTCCGTGTTCACTCACTTAGACTAAGCTATTGTTTGTCTTTTTATAATAAAAACTATATGGCGTGATGTTATATAGTATCTTGATTGTTTCAGATTAAAAATTATTTTAGCAAATTATTAGATTTATTTTTGGACACCCTACATTAATGATATAGCCAAACATTGCTGTTTAAACGATATGATAAGTTTTATGAATAACGAACATTTCTTTTTTCATAAACATATTTTTATCATAAGTCTTTTTGGTGAAAATAAAAAAAAATGACGAAATCTTTTTAAATAATTTCATTTAATGTATAGTAATATAATACAAATTATATTTTACGACAAATCATATAATAGAGCTTATTGCGAAAATGTCATATTTTTTTTCTTCTTATATTTTTTTTTTATAATTGCGTTGTGTTTCGTCGTGTGAGTGAGGGTACCGGAGGCCCAACCCCCCCCCCTATTCCCTTCCCTCTACCCCTCAACCCTTCTCTCCAAGGCCGGCAGCGCGCTTGTAGCCTCTAGTGTTACAGGTGTCTATGGGCGACGGTAATCACTTACCATCAGGTGATCAGTCTACTCGTCTGCCCCCTATCCCATAAAAAAAAAAGAACATCCTTGACAAACGAAAAGAAATATTTGTCAATTTTAAATATTCATTGAAATTACCAGATCCGAATATCTCTCCTTCTCGTTGCAAATACCAAACTGAAGAACATTGATATCAGATCGAGATTGCGGAGAGAATTCCCGTGGATACTCCGGATGCCCTATAACCAACCGACTTCGTTTGCTGATCGTTAATGATATATGTAGTAATGACATTAGATGTTGCATATGAAAAATTTTAAACTGATGAATCTGAACAGTTGGATTCTATTCCAGATGATTGTGGTAATGGTTTTCTTTTATTATTATCACTGCTATTAGAGATCTAAATAAATTGTTTTTATTGTGTTTAGTGTCTCTACAAGGTGGTTACCCTGTAGAGACACTAAACACTTTCAGTGCTATTAATAAACAAGATTTAGCGTCAGAATATGTAAATTTACGCTGAAATTGCCAATTTTGTATTAGTTCACATTCATATTATACAGAGAATAAGCAAACTTACTACCTTTCAGAAGTAAACAATTTTCCCCACAGAACCTCGTACTAGGTCAACTTTTGCTAATTTTCTGTTTAATAATATAAATTGACTAAGTGCAATCTCGGTGTAAATTTGGTGTACATTAAGGTATCATTTAAATATAGATAAAATAAATAAATATTAAACTGACAAGTTTATATATTAGGCTAGTTGACAACTTTTCTTTTATTTTATAAATAAATAGTCCATTAATATCTGAGAAATAGCATGTTTGCGATTAATAGTTTCGGAGATAGGGTGCTATGTGCGGGAACTGCTGCTTGTCGGCCTAAAACGCTCCCCACAAATTCAGTGCCTCGAATTGACGTCCTCGAAAAGTGACGTCCCACAGTGCTACGGTAGCGAAAAATGCTTGGGTATCTGGGCAATCTTTGTAATATCTTTACTATTTGTGCGTCATAATTAAAGTTGTTACGTTAAGTGTTACTAATTTAATGCCACATGTGTTTTAGCAAATTTTGGTAATATATTTTCCCTACTTTTTTCAAGTTATCAAAGCGATATATTTTTAAAATAAGTGTCATAAAATTCATTATTAAATATTTATATCAAAATGGCTCATATTTTCTGAACATATAACAGAAATCTGTATTTTCACGTGTGGGACACAAGCCAACGTACTGCCCCCTGGCCTTTACTGTCTATATGGTAAGGAAAAATCTTTGATCTGGTCGAAAATTCAGTATATTAATATGTTTTATATAATATTGAATCTAACGTTGACTTAGCGGAGTAAGTAATTTTAAGTTTATTATTAATACATGTATCGTTTAATTTAAAAGTGATTTATTATTTCATTATCTAACAAAGAAGCCTACTTAAAGTTCCACAAAATGTAATTGACCTACCCATAAATGAATTTCAAATTCATGTAAAGAATATACTTATGAGTAAAGGCTATTATAAAGTTAATAATTATTTTAAGGATCGCAATGCATGGAATAATAGCCTTCGCTTTGTTCGATAAAGACTAATTATATGTTCAACCTATGTCCTACAGACTTTGAAAGTTGTATTTACTATTGTGATAATACATATTATTTTGGTAATGACATGATTTGTGTAAATGTCATTTCATAACTTATGATAAAAAGCTGGTAAGTTTCTTTCGCTTGTTCTTCTTGTCAGCTAAAAGACGTCCTGAACAAGTGGTAGGGGAAAAAAGTTTTTTGGACTATTCAAAAGTGCTTGTAATAGCCTACTTGAATAAAGATATTTTCATTTCATTTCATTTCATTATAAAAAAAATATTCATTCTTAAACTCGTCAACTTTCAAGTATTTGATTTAGTTGCATGGTATACTCCTTATTCAAATTCAGTTAATTACTTAATGTACCAACATATAAACGAGATTAAAAAAAATACTTACTTTGTAAAATTAATACATGGCAAAACTAAATGGAATAAATATCTTCCTAGGTACGTCTTTACTAATTTACATATTATAAAGTGCAATGTATTTTCCAAAAACATATAAAGTATATGGAAACAGTTCTCCCTTTCTGAGACTGAACAGACGAGCGTTTTAACTGGTCAGCAGAATTATTAAAGTTGACAAATGAAAATTAGAAAAAATATTAAAAAAAATAATCAACCATTACAAAAATTAGAGACCATCAATTTTAAAATATTTTCCTGTATGATTCCATCGAGCACCAATTTATGTAATAATACTGGACTAATTATTGAATTTCAATTCGATGTTGGAACAACATCGGTTAAAACGAGAATAAGAGAATTTAAAAAATTCATCTTTAAAGTCGTTTGATTAAATTCGGATAGCAAGTCTATGCCGACTTCACTACTCGCAATGAAGGAGTATGATATATTTTTCTAATCGCTCGTGTATTAGGGACATTAAAAACAGCGTTATGCAAAACCGAATGCATTTGCGACAAACGCCTGAGTACTTCCAGCTCCACTTGAATACCGAATTGTCAACAAATGCATAACAAACATGCTCCGTGAACTCTACTACAAGTTAGATGGCCGCATAAAAAGTAACTATACATCTGTGTCACCTCTAAAGTATGCACGGGTATGGCTGCTTAAATGTTTCACATATGTAAACTTTTTGCAGTTGTTTATTATTACAACCAGACAAACATTTGACAGAAATGTAACTTGCAGATTATACATACCAGAACGATATATCTGTTACTACAAAATCCTAATCCTCAGAGTAATTTTAATGCCAAATCGAATATTAAAAAGACATGTTTAAAATAAATAAAAAGATTCTTCTGTTGCAACTTTGTATTATATCTACACCCATCTTTCACACCATAAAATTATTATGTATCTTTATCGTTTAAGTTATAAAAATAATGTTACGATTGTCATATTACATAAAATTTAAAGTACTTACTAAGACGCTTAATAAGTATTAATAAAACAAACAATGATCTTTAAACTTTATTTTTATTTCTTTAGTGCGGTTTAAATATATTCTTGAAAATGACTACTACATTAAAGTACTATAAAAATTAGATTTTTATAATACGGCTTTATAATTGCATCTAATAGTTTTTAACAATAAGTATTCATACTAGACTTTTTAATCCATTATGAAACATCGTGTTAAAACAATACCGCATATATGTACAACTAATTTTTTGAGCAAATAATTTCGTGTCCTAACTTTCATAGCAACTACTATATAATCACACAATATACTACAAACTACAGACATTTACCGCTTTATTATTTTGAAGATTTCTTCAAAATAATTTATTCACATTGGAAACACACAATATTTTTGTTACAACTGTTTGCATGTAAGCTAACAGTAGCTCAATAACTCTGCAATACTGCAAGCTTTTTCGCAGCATTCGTCCACAACTCCTGGTATTCGTTTACCCCTCGATGAATAGACGAAGCTCTTTGCTTTTTGTGGAGACATCCAAGGCCATTCAAGTTGGAAGTCTTGTTGGCTGTTGTAGTATGGAAGTATTACGTCTGTAAATAATAATTGAATTGACTGAAATAGAAAGGATTCCTAATTGATCTCATTTTGTTTTACTTTAATATTTAGTTAAATTAATATTATGAAGTACATGATATAATATTACTTGTTTTTAATAGGTTTTTATAAAATTACGATATTTCAAAACTATCTTAGCGGACGAATAGTCGCAAGACAATAAATCAAACAAAAGATGATGTAACAATTTCTGAGGATGCTCCAATAAACTACAAGTGAAAGGTCAAATCATGTGTAGAGTAATAGCACAGTAATCTGCGATAATAGCTAATGACGGTTACGAAATTTGTATTAGCTTGTCATTATATTTATTTGTGATGCGTGAATATCTTATAGCTAGGTACCGTGTGTGTGCATGTTCAAAATCACAGTTTTGCTGTTAGTATAACTTGTTTTTTTATCAAGCAACTGAAATAACGCACTAAACTTCATAAGATGAATTTAAAGATTGAATTTATCTGATTGATAATTGATTGACTCAATTTAGAGCTTGCGAGGAATCAGCGAACATGATCCAAAAATGCTCCACAGATTTTTCTTTGAAAAAATACCGCAAATATAAAAATTTATATACAAAATTACCTACCATACATAATCGCTGCATCCGACCTCTTGGATACACCGTTGTCTTTGGAGCATAGGTACGCGAGAGCTGACGCCAAGGTTCTACCGCAGTATATCTGAGGATTAGTCTCCTGCATTTGCATTCGACCGCCGCCGATATGCGCACCACATACTAAGATTACTGCTACGAAAACAGTCACCACCAATTTCGGCTGAGTATTCATCTGAAAAATTAAATAAGCACCATCAAATGTTGCTGGAACTAACTTTAAGGCGTTTAAGCGTACAGTCGGAGACAGTTTATTAAAATCACTTTCAGATTAAGAATATATTACGGTGCAACGTCACACACAACTACGTAGAAGTAATATATTTAAAAAAAATCAATAACAACTTTTAGAATTTTTAAAAACAGAATTGCTGCCACATATTTAATTACTCCCTGGAAATACTGAACAGTAAATTAATACCTCGATTTCCACGAATATTACTTTAATTTGAAAAGCCATTGAAGTGATTCCACAAATTGCCTTACTTAAATTAAATATGTTTTACTCTATTAACTGCCATGATGCAAAAAAAAAACAGAAATGACACGCACTACTTGTTTAATTGCAGATAATTTATAAAATTATTTAATCAGCTTTTGAATTATAATTGGTCAATTTTAAGTAATTCAAAATTTTCATCAGGATTTACTATTAGTAAAGATTATCCAACAGCTTGGCCCACTTCAAGAGTTATTTAAAAAAAATGCTTGCTTACAAATCGTTAATACCTTCAGTATCGCCCAACGCTCGTGGAATATGAGGTAACACATGAGCCATCCCGGTTTTATATACCTGTTTGGATAAGTTATTAATATTGATCAGCATGTCACCTTCTTCAGCACCTCGAGATCTTGTAATGAATCCCGATTTCGATAGCTGGCGCTTTGAAGTGGAAATATAAATAGGTAAGGGAGAAAATCGGTTTATTTATAGAATCAGGCTCTTTATCAGCTCAGAATCAGGCAATTTATATTAGGTCTTATTCTATGAATTTATCGAATGTAGGTAATACTGTACATTATTCGGTAAACGTATGTACGATGAATATTTGTGCTATAAATCAGGAATCTTTTCATTCTATATATCGCAAAAACGGTATTACCTATATTATTCCTATTATTTATTCCTTGAGAACCACATATTTAAGATTTTATCCATATTCATCCATATTCATTTACAAAAAAATATTGTTATTCGCTTCAAATACAAAGAAGGGTTCGATTCAAAAGAACACCAAACAAAGCTAAAAACTTCAAAAGGTGTAAGAACTAATTTTGTTGTTTATATATTTCCTATTAAAAACGAAACACCAGATATTACTATAGTTGTGTAGTAACATCCAGTGATATCCAGACACAATTTTAAGGACAGGTGTTACCGAGTCATCCGTAAAACCAAAATGTTAATCAAAAAAATCTTTCTCTGTCACTTCATCTGAAAATACAGAATTCGCAATAAATAAGCAATACCAATGTAAATTCATCAGGTGTCCTTACAATTCTAACGCCTCCATGCCCCGACCGATGGGAGGCGTCGCCTAGTCGCGGATTGGAATCTAGGGCACACTTAAGCCGTCAAATAAGATGTAACGGAGCAGAACATTAGATGTGACACCCCCTCGTACAGCTCGCACACTTCATTTGATAAGTCCGTTACACGCCACTAAACGTTATACTAGATCAATTGGTTTCCTTTTTTTGTTTGTTTAAAACTAGAAACTTTTCATGCTAAAAATGCATGTTGAGGAAGGTTTAACGATTGTGGGAACGTTACATGGTCTTATTATATAACGTTAAAAAGAGCGAATGTCTGTTTGGGGCTGCTGGTGGCAAAGTTCTATCCTACATACCTACCTTAAATTATACTTAATTTACAGAATTCAAACCTATTGATTTAAGTATCTCGTACACCAGTGGTGTACACGCCATACATGCAAATATGCACTGCATACCTACCCATAAAACCCAACTAAACCTACATTGTTTTTATTCTCATTTATACATTAACTTGATACTTGATTCAAAGGCTCGTCGTCATGATCATGATTTGGTTAAACTAGTAAAATTGCCAGGTATCAAAATTAGACAGAACTACTATATAACATTCTAGTTAGGTAGCTGGATATTTTTTCATCCGACTGCTACGCTGGCACCGCCGCCAACGATGTTGCCTTAAGCTACATTTGTTACTACTTATTCGCCATACAAACACGCCGGATAAAAACAACTCGTGTTGTACGCAGAAATCATTTGTATGTGTGTGTAAAATTCATGCATTTGTTACGATTTGAGAGATACAACTTATCACAACCTGACTAAATTAAGAATTCATCAGGGTGGCATTTGCGCAAAGAGACTTTAATTTGGCCTGTGTATCGTTTATATTTTTTTCGCTATTTTGTTTTAATTGTTTTTCTGAGCGCAAATCACTTGCGCCAAATTAAATAGTCTCTTTGCGCAAATGCCACTTCTGATGACTAAGACTTAACATGAAGGGTGTTATAACGTTGAACCTCTTTGCTAGAGGTTTAGTTTTATTTATCTCTATGTTAATAGTTTCAAAATGTCAGTGACAAAGAGTAGAATAAAAAGACGTCATTAATTAAAAAATGCTTGATCTTACACATGTGTTTTTAATTATATGATTTATTTTTATCTAGAGATGATAAGAAATGGCAACCAGCCTCAGTGGAGAGGCAAACACACAGATATTCCTATATCATAAAAACACCTGATGGTGTTTTACGCAGAAGACAAGCGGATCACATTCGTCCAGATAACTCTAGTGCATTAATCTCACCGCTAGTAAACAGTGTTATACACGATTCTACACCATCTACACCACATGTTAATAATGCTCCACCCCAAATACCTGTTTTATCTAACACTCCATCCAAAACAGCACCTGCTCGTGGAGATATTCCAGCAAGTCGTAGGAGTATTCGAATAAGACACCCACCACGCCGTTTGATTGAAGAATTAGAATAGGGGGACGAATGTTATAACGTTGAACCTCTTTGCTAGAGGTTTAGTTTTATTTATCTCTATGTTAATAGTTTCAAAATGTCAGTGACAAAGAGTAGAACAAAAAGACGTCATTAATTAAAAAATGCTTGATCTTACATATGTGTTTTTAATTATATAAAACAAAATTGATTGCTATTATGTGTTTAGTGACACTCGCAAGACAAATCGATTGACATATAAATCATCAAAATTGGCCAATCTTTAATTAAAAGTATTATGATACTTGTCTATAATTGATTAGCATTAAAAATGAACATACAAGTAATTTAATAACCATATTTTTTGAAATTTACAAATTAGCAAAAATAATAGTTACGATAAAATTGGATTTTATAAAATGGATAAGTTTTTCAATACGATTTAGGGTAGGATATGCAGCATGTACCTTACATGCTGCATATCCTACCCTAAATCGCTATGCACGCCCCCGTCGGACACTATGCAACCAATAACCTTAATGATGAGGCTGACAATGAGAGAGAGCGCAGGGTGCTGGTGGTACGCTGTAACATATTGGATCGTAGATTTTCCCAATGTAGCATTCCAGTAAAACACGAGTAGTAATGAGTATCATTGACGAGTAGCCTGTGATCCAATCATAGTCCACGAGCCCTCAGTGCACTCCGTATCCAATATATTAATGCTTTCAGAATACTGTTGGGGCTGTTTCTTTTCTGCAGTCATGATTTCTTCGCCATCAAACTGCTTCGTTGCTCTTGACAATGCGGTCTGCGGTCTTCCAACTCTATTCTATAAGCGATAGGAGGTCGATACGAATCCCCAATAATATCATATTTGGTCTGGAGATTTATTACGGATACAAAATTAGTTTCTAAGAAATCCATGTTTTTGATAAGTTCATAGGATATTTTGGTTTTGATGTCACAAAACCTTAAGAAAACGGAACATCCATTCAATAATTTTTATATTAAGGAATCCCATAGCACATGATTCAGGTCGATGGATGGATGTTTCCCATCTCTATATTGAGCCCCTGATGATTCTGTTAGAAGATGGAAATGGAGTGGACCATTGAGCGCGTCAGGGCAAAGGAGAAAGCTCCTGATCTAGATGGCGTGCTGGGAAATATTGTAGGTAATTTGTGATTTGACTTTCCCCAGATACTGGTTTACGACTAAGTACAGTAATGTCCGTGCACATTACTATACGGTTCACTCTCCGGACGATTTATGGTCAGTACTGACTGATATTGTAAATAATTATTTTTTCCGTGTTCGAATTCGCGTGTTCATGTTTTGCTGGCTGATAATCTTTTTTTTCGGATCGAGATCGGCATAGAATCAGTATCTTAGAATTTAGTTGTAAGTGATTTGATTTATATTATTTGCAAATAAAATCGAGAGTTAGAAGAATTGCACAAGGATTTCATTGAACAACCCACCATTAGATGGTGGAGGGGCCGGGTATGAAATAAAACGATACCTTTCGTAAGCCAAGCGAAAAAACGAAAAAACAGGCAAACGAAAAGAACGAGAAAACTAGAAAGCTGAAAATCATGGAGAAATACGACGGATTGCAAGGTGATGTGGCTGTTTTTTTTACTCAATTTAATATTATAGCGGCAGCAAATGGTAATCAAGAACCAATTAAAAAAGTAATGTTGGCGGTGTATTTTTCAGGACCTGCACTATTATTTTATAAGACATTACAGGGACTTCAGAAACAAATCAGCGAGGAGTTCTCATCGACTGCGAATCCTCTAGCAAAATATCAACGGCCAGCATTGACCATAAATCGTCCGGAGAGTAAACCTACCTATAGTAATGTGCACGGACATTAAATAAAAGTACTTTTAAACAGATATAACACGTTTACATTCGATTTCATTGATCGAGATTAGACGTTTCAGATCCTTTTGAATTTGCAAAGTATTATATAAGACGCGTGAGTACAATAGTTTTATTTAACGACCCCTAGGTACTAGAAGAGAGAATGGACTGTGTCCCCTACGGAAGAATACTTACTAGCCCGTTGTCTACAAAGAGAGGGCACCAGCGAGGAATATCGAGAACCAGCTTGTCTCCAAAGAGCTAGCCTTCGCGGAGCACTAGACAGATAACGAAATCTTGAGCGTTGGTTCAATTACCAAATGCTTGCAGTTATCTATACTAATAATATTTAGTGTTTTTGATATATTTTCTGCTCACAATAAGATTTTATAGCTAAGCTCAAAGA